GAAGAAGGAAAAGGCGGCATTGGACAATGGCTGCGGGCGGCGGGCGCTGCCTTGGGAGGCTGCTGCAGCCCCGGGGCTGGGCCCAGGTGGGAGCGCGGGGGTGGCAGGGGGGGTCCCCCCCTTCCTCTGCCAGCCCCCCTGGTTCTCCGCTCGGGCCCTAGACAGGACATCATCCTATTGGATCATTTCAAGCTCCCTTTCCCAGCAAATAACATCTTCCGAAGCCGCCCTGATAGCTCGAGTCTCGAGCGCGCAAAGCAGGGGAGTGACACGGCATCTCTTTGCTTTTGTTTAGATACCAAATGTTTCGGTCAGGACGTTTTTTGCATATCCTCGTACGAAAGCACGGTCCGGTTTGGTACAGGGATCTAAAGGTAAGGAAAAATGTCGTCTTGCCTTCAGGTCTGACACTCAGCTGCCGTCTTGTTCCAGCCGGTGATGTCTGATGCAGCTTTCTCTACCTGTGCGGTTTGCCAATAGTATGTGACATGAGAGGGAGAAAAGGGGAAAGCTTGTGTTTTGGCAGTTATATAAAAGCATTGGCGATGCGTAGGGGGTGCACGTGCACCCCTGGAAGTGCCAGCCATGAAACTGGAAGTGCACTTCCAGTTTTGCTGCTGGTTTGGCAATTGGCCACTGGGGACCCCCCCTCCCCCATCAGCAATCTGGTGCCCCCCCCCCGGACTTGGGAGGCACCACTCGCCCGTGTGTAAAATGCATTAGAATCCATTGAAATGAACTGGAAGGTTCCATAAATAGAGGTCTTTTACGCTTGTCAAAGGATGCTGAGATGATTTATAATGTCGTCTGAAGACTTAAGCCTCCAATACAGTATCGCTGTGTAGAGCAGATAATGTAACTAAAATAGCTGAATTAAAGGAGTCGGAGAACATTAGGACCGAGTCAGTAGCACGGTAGCTGGGAAGCTTGGTAAACATCAGTTCCTGATGCTGCACACCCTGCAGGATGGTAAGCTGGTTTCTCTTATAGTAACTGTGTTTCTAATTTGAACTCACTCCAGACATTTGTTTGATACTCCGGAGACCAAAAAGCGGCACTGCAGATGTCATCGAATCTGGAGAGGATGTTGCGTTCAGGTGGGGCCTTTTACTGATCCCTGTGACCACATTTTGCCTTGGCACATGGCAGGTAAATGAAAACATTTCACTCTTTAGAAATCAAAGTACGCACATGGGCGTCAGTTGAGAACTGCCTCAGATAACCAGAGGGACTTATCCATGTCAAAATAAAAATTAGTCAATGTTGTTTAGCGTCTTTAATTTGGGCTGTTTCAACAAGTCCAGGCAATCCTTTTGATGCAAAATTTAATTTTACTTTCCATCCCCGCAAGGAAATAGGTATTTCAATTTTCGTGTCTTGAATTATCCTGTTAAAGACCAGTGTGATCCCAGCATTGAGGAAAACATGAATTTTGTTTTCAAGCTTGCAAGAAGTTATTAGCAGCAGCCCCCATGATGATGCCATTGCTGTGTGTTCCCAGGTCCAGCGCCGGAAGTGGAAGTTGAAACTGATTGCAGACCTCGAGTCAAGAGTTGGATCAGAGCCTGTTCCTCTGCCTTCAGAGTAAGTGTAGAAGCTGGGTTTACACTTGATGATTCATGTAGCATCAGCAATCTACTAGGAATTTGGGACACGGTCCTTGCCCTGAGGAACTTGCACACTAATAGACAACATGGGAGCAGCAAGCAGTGTAGACAAACTAGAAAGAAAAATATGGTGGTTCATCTTATTTTAAACATGAGCTGTGAATGCTTCCCTGGAAAGCATTATGTGCTACCAAAAATGCATGTGTTACAAAAAGCCATGTGGATAGACAAGGTCCTTGCACTGTTCAGACAAATCTGAGGCACAGAACAAGTGCATTTGGCCATCTGGTATAGAGTGCCAAGGTTCAAGGCTCAGGAAGGGAAGGAGAATTACTGTTGACTTGACCTCCACATGCTGTGTCTACAGGAAAAAGGCCCTTCCCAGCTGGTGTTGTGTTCTGCCAGTGACACAGGAATTACACCTGGGTATACCCAGGATACTAACAACTCATGCTATTCACTAGCGTGCTGCTAAACTGTAGTCAGCTGCTTAACTCATTGGGGATTTTGTTTCTCTGTCTGCTACTGCTGATCCTTTTTTTTTTTCTTCAGTTGATTTGCCAGTTGTCCATTTGGGGAATAACAAAACAGAGGGGACCCCGTAATTCCACTAAAGGTTTAACTGTCTGGCTCTGGTGGCCCAGAGACTGATCTCATCCCAGTGCATCTTGTTCCCTTACAGCCCTGCAGAGCTGAAGGAGCTGGAGTACAGGTCTGTCAAGGTTCGAGGGTATTTTGATCACTCCAAAGAGCTCTACATTATGCCACGTTCACGGGTAGATCCTAAGCGAGAGGCCAGAGAAGCTGGACGACTGACGTCCAGTCCGGACAATGGAGCAAACGTCATTACTCCCTTCTACTGCACAGACCTCGGGTATGTTCAGCTACTAGCTGGAGGACTCTAGGCTTATGCAGGCCTGCAGCAGGCACTTTGTTTCTTCCCTGCAGCAGCTGAATTGCAGTGGTCAGGTTAGTTCAAAGGAGAGCAGTGATGATACAAGAGAAAAAAAAAGCCTCTCAGATAATCTACTCAGTTGGTAACCCTTGACTTCCAAGTGCATTTAAAACCCATTTTAATTTGCTTCCTGTTACCTGGAAAGTGGTTTTCAAACACGTAGATCACTAATCTTTTTGGCATGTAGTTTCACAGTGATGGGAGTTCTCTTGCTAACAAACTTATTTTTCTCTCTCCATTCTTACTTGTACCTGCAGTATCACAATCCTAGTGAACCGAGGCTTTGTCCCCAAAAAGAAATTGAAACCAGAGACCAGACTGAACGGACAGGTAAGAGGAACCAGTTAGATCTCTCACCCACTACCCTGGAAGCAACTGTTAATATGCCAGCTGAGGCACTAGACTAGGGGTGGCCAGTCACCCACTCTGGGTGCCACATCCTCCACCAAACTTCAAGGGGTGTGGGGAGGTGCTGAGTGACCTGCTGCTGCAGCACCAAGCTACTCTGGCTTTCCCCATGAGGAGCACGCCCTAGGGTAAGCAGTGCAGCTGCAGCCCAGCAGGAGAGGAGGGAGGAGGGCAGGCTCAGGGCCTGCTCTCCACAGGGAAAACCAGAGCTGCTGGGAGTGCCTCGGGGAGAAGTGGACAGGGCTTCAGCCAATTTCTGGAGAGCCACAAGTACTGTGCTGGGGAGTCGCATATGGCTCATGAACCATGGTTTGGCCACCCCTGTACTAGACAGTACAGCAGCAGGTACTATGATGATGGATAAGTGCAAAATACCCACTATCTAACCCAGTGGGTTTCCTCCAGTTTGCCTGAATGTGATGTTCATAAAGACAAGGACCTGATGTGCCCATCTGTCTGCTGATGCAAGTTGCCAACTCTTTCACTTGGAGTTGGGCTTAAAGAGCACTGCCTCTGTCCCATGCAGCAGTAGCACTAACTGCTGTGGCTGGGGCTCAGCTAGCTCCAGGCCTCTTCCTATTGCCATGATGTGCAACTCACAAAAGACTTGAGCTGCTCTTTCCCCTTCCTTAGGTCACAGATGAAATAGACCTTGTTGGGGTTGTGAGACTGTCAGAAACCCGGAGGCCTTTTGTGCCAGAGAACAACATAGAAAGAAACCACTGGCATTACCGGGACCTGGAGGCCATGGCAAAGGTGACAGGGGCTGAACCCATCTTCATCGATGCAGATTTCTGTAAGTCGCCAAGAAGCTTTCTTGTTTGCAGTTTGGCCCACAAAGGGGCCTGTTCCCTTTAAACTGGTCTCTCTTGCCCTGAAGCCAGAAAAGTGACAGGAGCTACTGGTCATATTTCTGTTAGTCCACATTTAGGACTAACAAGCTATGGTGAAAGCAGTTTTGTTGAGGCCATTAGGTCTGCCTCAAGCATACAAAAACATGAGTCTAGTATAGTAATTGCATTTGGTTTTTGGTTTATTTCTTGTATTTTGCTAGGACCAGCTTTCACCTGTGGAATTACCGCTCAGGAGGGCTGTTAAATAGTTCAAGTAACTGCTAAAGCCAAAAAGAGCAGCTTTTTAGCCATCATTTACCTTGCAATGGCCAGTACAGTAACTTTTGTGAATAGCCTGTTAACCTTTGGGGTCAGCCAAAGGTATGCAAGTGGAAAGCTTGCATTTGTTTCACTCAGAATAAAACTAGAGGCACTGGTGACTCTTCATTGGGTTCTTCCTTTGTTCCTACAGGGAGCACAGTCCCAGGGGGGCCTATTGGAGGTCAGACAAGGGTGACCTTGAGAAATGAACACATGCAGTATATTGTTACCTGGTAAGTACCTTCGCTTCCTGTGTTGACATGGAAATGAGTAACAGCACTGGCCAGACTCTGGCTTCCTACTCTATGACTTCCTGTTTGGCCTTTACTCTTCTAGCTGTAAAACAAGTGCTGAATATCACTGCTCCTCAGTACAAACCAGATTATAAATATTAGCCCAGCAACTTCCCTCTGTATGGCGGTGTTACAAGCAACTTGATCTCATCTGGGTAACAGGGCATTCACTCTCTCCTCCCTTCTCTTACAGGTATGGTTTGTGTGCTGCAACCTCCTATCTGTGGTATAGGAGGTTCATACAGAAGATCCCTTTCTGAAGGGAAGGTTCTGATGTTTCACTCTTCAAGAAAAGACAAGAGCAAGAGCTCAAGCCATTGGGAGACCTACATAGAAGAAACTGGTGTAGCACTGGAAGAAGTGGCTGGCTATGCAGCTGTGCACGCTCATGCATCTCCACTGAGGAGATAAGCAAGAGATGCCCACTGCCATACAGGCAATTTTAGGGAACCTGGCCTTAGCTTAGACATGAAGTCTTGAATACAGCTTTGTGAGCTGTTTGTTCTTTAAGCCCAACTCCAAGTAAGAGTTGGCAGTTTCCATATGCTTTTAAGTCAGAGACAGTAATTACTGGTACAATACTAAGTTTTGATCATTTATTACCTTGCACATTTTCTTAGGGAGGGGATTTTTCTTAGCTTGTTTACTACTGTCACTCGATTGAGGAAATATTTCATCTAATCACAGCTAGTGTAATGGGGAAGTGGAAATAGACCACCTCATCATGAAATATCAGAGCACAGAAGTCATGAATTTCTGCAGGGGATTGTTTAAACAGTGTGCAGTGAAATGACAAAAAAATAAAAAGGGTTTATGGTAAATTTTATCACTCCTTGTGTGGAATCTTGAATTTAGGATTAAGTTATCCAGGCATCCTACAAAAAAAAATAATGTATAAATGCTTCTCTCAAGTAATTCCAACTTGTGGAGGATCAACTTAAATAGATAGGATGTAATAATTGTTATAGTCTAACCCCAACTGACTGCTCACTTTAAAAAGATAAAAGCAATGAATTTAACCCTCATCCATCCTACCGCAAAGAACTCTCAGAGCTGTTCCAGTAGGTGCAAATATAGGAGCCGAGATGACTCCATTTGTCTGTCCTCCCCGGAGCTTTGGACAAGAGACAGCTGAAACTTGGTTTTGGATTTTATTGTTATCTACAGAAACCATGAGGAGTAAGTCCAGTACATTTTTAACCCAGCTTGGTAGCCAGCTCTTTAGCCTTGGCTTTCTCCAGCTTGGCAATACGAGCCACTGATTTGGGCCCCAGAACATTGCCACCCCAGTGACGACGGATCTGGAGGAAAAGAAACAGGAATAAATTAGACGACTTAATTGTACTCACACACACACACACACACACACACACACACACACACACTGAAATTCTAATATTAGTTTCTCCTTCAAGAAATCACAGGACTCGCTCATTTGGTAGTTAACATTCAGAAGTTTAGTTCCTTCACAAGAATTGCTTACGAGGCATTGATATCACTGGAAATAGCCCAGCTAGTTTCCTCCAAGACTAGAGAATTAAAAGACATGACTAAGAGTTAAGCAAGGTCTCTTACACTTCCAGTTGGGGGCCTGGGTCTTTACAAACCCTCAGAGGACAGGGACGTTCACGTGCAGACAGATTTAGCAAGCACGTCTTTCAGTCCCTTCAGACTGGACTTTTATCTCTAAATTTTGATTAGACCAGAAGTGCAGTTTTCACCTGTTCCAATCGCTGCCCAGTGAGACCATCAACATGGAAGCTCAAGATGCTACAAAACAGAAGTGCTGTTGGCACCAAGTCTTACCTCATCATATCTGTCATTGTAGTTGGTCTTGACAGCCTCCACCAACTTGGCTAGAGCGCCTTTATCCTCCCTGTTGACCACATTAAAGCGTTAGTTCCTTTTGAACACTTGTGTAAACACCACTTCCCAACAAACCTTTTGTCTCAGGGTTAAAAAGCTCTTAATGCCACATGATTTTTCAGGTGAAGAAATTCTATGTACATCATTGACAAAAGGTTCACATAGCATTCAGCATCACTGCAGTACAGTAGACATTCCTTCAGTACTTTTATCACTTTCCAAATGACATTTAGTGCAGTTTGACCACAAGTAAGTTTTGAATTGGCTACGCAGAGAACCTAAGACAGTGATGCTTTATACCAATCTATACCTTTTGGCAGGTTCCAAATTAGCCCCACACCCTCCAAGGGGCACTCTGATCCCCTTCCCCTGCTCAGTCTGTTGCTCTGCTTCCTACTTCCTGCCACTGTGCTGCCCGCATTCATCCCAACCCACCATCTGTCGCACAGAGGCCATCAGCATTACCTGTTGCACACTCCGGCTCTATACCAAGACTAGTAAGTAACAAATCAATTTGTATTCTCCAGCTTACACGCTCCACAGCAAATCACATACAATTCTCTTAGCTACACCCTTTTTAAGTATGATTGGATTTAGTGTTTGAAACCAATTCCTAGTTTCAAGATTGTTTTACTTTTATTTTTTTTACTCCCCCAATAACTGGATGGGAATGTATTAGTAGTTACCTTTCTATACTGTTTCCAAATTGAAATTCCTATTTTAAGTGTACAAGCACACTTACGGGTTCACTTGTGTGAAGGCGACACAGGTGCACGTCTTCCTATGGACCAGTCGTCCCAGTCTGGCTTTGCCCTTGATGATGCAGTAGGGAACCCCCATCTTGCGACACAAGGCAGGCAGGAATACTACCAACTAGACAGAGAGAGACTGCTAAGGGCGTGCCATGCAAGAAATCAAGTCACAAAAGAGAACAGAGTTTGGGCTTTGGCAGTTGCTCAGGGTTAAAAAGCTCGTATAGTTTGCTCTTCATGGTGCAAGTTTCAGGTGAAGAAATTCATACATCATTGCAAAGGCCAAGCCCCAATCTTTTTTTTTTTTTTTTTTTTGGAGAGACAGTAACTTCAAAATAATACTTTATACAAATACTAGCCATGCCCGTTAACAACACAGCAACATAAAACTTGAAAATGCTAGAGTTGTCAATAGTAATAAAGCACAATATTAGTAACTAACATTCTGAAAGGCGTTCAGCCAAGCCAGACTCTAGCCTGGGGGCAGGCAACTATTTCAGGCAGAGGGTCACTTACCATTTTGAGGGCCACATGGGTAGCCCCACCCCTTGACAGGTGCCCCACCCCCGGTCACCATCTTGGGAACAATGTCCCAGGGCCCAAAGTGGGGCGCAGACTAGCAGGCGTCTGTGAAGCTGGGCTGGGCTACACCAGCAGGGAGAGGGGGCAGCTGGCCCAGCTCCAGAGCCCTTGCCAGCCAGGACCCATGCTGCCCTGCTCTGGGCCCTGCTAGCACTGGCCCCATGCTCCTGCTGGCTCCCCGCCCGCTCCCTCCCAGTGCCCCCCAACACCGGGG